CTAATAATAAAACACTATCATTTAATCTACTTGACAATTTAAGCCAAATTTGGCAGGGGAGTAGCTATTAAACCTCAAAGATATTAAGTTCTTAAAACCTTCATGAGATCGGGAGAGAGATCACATTCAAGCCCTCTCTGAGGGGAGACCAGAACAAGAGTTCAACTATATTATTAGATTATACCAGATAATATTATTGTAAATAATATATATATTATTGTATTATAACAGAGAATACACATGAGGGTGGAAGAGAGAGAGGCATTATGAATGTCCAGCTCTGGGAAGTACCTGTGAAGAGTTTTGCCACCTTAGACACCACGGGATCTGTCCCCTGGCCACAATGCAGCAGCAAGCCCAGCTTTGCTCCTTCTGCTGCCTGAGGAACTACTTGGTTCTTAACACTCAGGGGCTTCTCAAATTCCCTGATGGTGCAGGTCTCATAAATTCCTGGATAGTTACATCAGGTATTAATTTTTGCATTGGAATACTGCTGTGTTTTTCTTTCTGGAAGCTTGGCTTGTCATTTGGAGCTTGGGCTCATGAGTAAGATCAGTGACCACATCCAAGCAATGGTTTGTGTTTTCAGAAGGGCTGTGCCCATACTTGTAAAGAAAATGGACCAAAGCCTCTTTTCTGGCCCTAAAGGCAAGTGACAAGACATGGCTTGTGTTTGTTAGCCTAAATTCCTCTCTGAAACAGAGTGGCCCTGGTTCATTCTAGTTGTGGGGAATGGTCCCTGGCCTAAGTCTCCCCTGCAGCTGGTCTAGGTCCTGTCTAGGAGAGTGCTAGTTCGCATGAGAATAATACAAGCCAACACAGTGTCCAGGGACATGTTCACAACTGAGCATTTCTGTCCTGGCCCTCTTTAGCTTGTTAGCAGTGCTATAGCTAAGATCTCTGATATTCCAACTTGGTATTTTCTGTACAACTGGGGGCAAATGGGAAAGAGAGAGGAGTGATTTTATTTTGCTTAGTCATGTGGGCCAGTACATTGGCTGGCTTGGAGTGCATCCTGGTCTCTTCAGCAAACTGCCCATGCCAATATGGAATAAAGTTCTTTGAAAATGAAGATGTATCAAGGCTGTACCTATCATCTTTACAACTGTAACAGACCTTTATTCAATCAAAGTCCTTTTCAGAGGGGAGTAGTATTTGGATGTCTACCCCTACCAATGTTGTGTTTAGCATCTTGAAGCAGAACTTTACAAAGGAACAACCTGGTATAAACTGCTAATGCAGAGTCATAAGAAAGCCAAGAGAAGTCGGTAACTCCTTCAGTGTTAAAATGAAAGGATTAGAACTGCAGATGTTTCACCAGGTGCTTTCTGAGAGCGCTGTCAGGCTCTCAAAGGCTGTTCCCAATGTTGTGCTTCAGCAAAACCTGCATAAACCTGTTAAAGACTTCATCAAGAAGGGTGAAAGCAAAAGGCGGTTGTAACGCAACAGTACAGGTTCTGCAGTAAGTCCTCTTTCCTTTCTCCTTCCCAAAAGGCCACTTCACTGGCAAATAGCAGATGTGTTAGCTTCAGCTGTAGTGTGTCTGGTCACGCCATAGTATGTGGCACTGAACAACTGCAGTTCAGTTATACTTTGGAAGGCAGTAGTTTAAATTCACACTATAGGAACACATGGTGATTATCATTACTCCATTTCTCTCTCAGTACTTGGCAGTCTAAGCATCTGGTTTAAAGTGCCTTTTAAAAGGAACAGGTTGAAATACTGCACCTCCTTGCAGTACAGATAAAGAGACCATCGTGTATTTTATTGTTTGTGTTTGATTTAATTACTTCTGGGATCTTTACAAGTATTACAGCACCTTGTCCTTAGCTAAACCTATCCAGTAGCTCACTATTTCCTTTCATACTGTGTTGGTAGTTGAGCTACTTAGCATTTGTATTGCCATGTGTTGTGTGTATTTGAGTCATATCACAGTTGGAAATGGAAAGCACTTCTTAAATACCCTCTTGCTCTGTTTAAGCATATCAACTTCTTTCCAAAGATATTTATGAGTGATTCTCTGACTTTCACAATACTCCTGTGGGTCAAACGTAGAGAAAATATGCACAAAGCTATTCTCTGTTGTGTTTTTTTTTCCCCTCTTGATGTGATAAGTGATAAAAAGCAGTTTATAAAGTCAGTGCCTCGCTCCGTAGGGTGCCTCTTGTCTGGTAGGATGCTTAGGTTGGATATCAGAATATGTACAGTGACAACAAACAATGCACAGAGAAGTTTTTCCTTCTAGTTAATGTAGTTTTAAAAGTATAAAGGAGTCTGGATATTTTTGTGTGTAGCAGAACATCCCTTTGGAACATACTTTCAGGATTTAATTTTACCCTATTTATTGGTGATTTTTTCAATGCATATTTTTAACACCTATGCGCAACGAGTTTCTGATACCTTTGTCTAGTGTGCTGTCAAGAAAAAGATGTACGTACTGGAAGATCTAAGGGACAAGTGCTGGTTCCATTGAAGTTGCTGGAAGTTTTGTCATCCCTTCAAGTATTCAAGATAACTTTGTGTTCTTGCAGAGCACTTCTATCTGCTACTTGTTGCTTATTTGCCATGCCAAAGATGCTTCGTTATTATCCTCCCTTTTTTTGGTGCCTTTCTAAGATCTCTAACAATTTCTATAATACTATGTCCTAAATTTTGCATTGTTTTCCCACGGTGACATGGTGACCATAACGTAGGTGACCCTTCTCCTCTTGATGGCTGCTAGTGCAACCTCCCATGTCGCGTTTTCTTTCATAGCTATTCTGCTGTTGCCAAAGTTCTATTGATTTATCACCTTGTATCAGTTTTATGATTTGTTGTCCAGTAATTTATGACTGTTTGGAGCTTTGGTGCTCATTACAGTGCCCAGTGACTCTTGTGACCCTCCTCCCCACGTACTGTCTGCCATCTTCGTCCCTGGACCAGTTTGTTGAAGCTGCAAGTTGCAGTGCATATGTCTATGCCAAGCCATGTGGACTCAGAACTAGGGTCTTTGTTTGACCAACTAATACCCAGTATCTCGAATTCAGGCAGCGAGAAGTTGATGGTTCAGCTAAACAGATGCTGAGGGTAAGATTTGTCCATTGCCTCCGACTGTGTAGGTAGTGAGGTGTTGCTGATACAGTGAAGGGCAATAGAGAACAGTCTAGACAGATACACTGCAGCTGGAGGAGAATATTGTAAATAAAATCCTGAGTAAGTGGCTTTACCTGGAACCCAGTGGAATCCCCCCCAGTTACCAGCAGGCACTTTTTTCAAGGTGGAAAACTTTACCCTGCTGGGTGTAAATACCAACAGAAACGCACTGCCAAACAGGGGCACAGGCTGGTGCCCTGGGCAGTCACTGGTGGTGGTATTTCTGAAGGCACGTCAGTAACTTACTTTCTTTGTTCAGTGATTTTGGTGGTGCTTTACCAATTAGGAAGATAAGTTATGTTTTTTCCCTTTCATCTTTTCACCACCTGAGGGTTATATTTAAGACATAAAAGATTGTAAGCACTGGGGGAAGGTGGAGAATGAGCAGGAAGGGAGAAGGGAGTTGTTCCCTTTGTGATGGCTTTAACTGTAACTAACAGTGTGAATGTGATAATTTTTAAAATCATGATTGATATCTTTTTGCTGTAGCACAGATTTTTGGTATGGAATTACAGTGCCAATTATGTAAAATATATAAAGTATGTCTAAAATACATCTACACGTACCTGCATGAAGAAGCTTATAAAATAAGAAAATAAATCTGCAATTAGTTCTTCAGGTTTGGTCATTTATTTTTGAAAAAAGAGGGACTGTAACTTCCCAAAATACATCCCCTCCTTGATGCAATGTAAAAGAATCCGACATTGTACTTCCTCCTTAGAATTTCTGGGGAAATGGATTTTGCTGCCAACGTAACATCCTTTAACAGGTCTCCTGCTGGTCCGACCTTGTGTCCTGCTGTGACAGCCATGACCATGTGTACAACTGATTGTTAGTGAGCAATATAAATCTGATTGGAACATGCCCGTTAATTGGTTCGAGAGCTCGATACAGACAATGCTGTCTTATAGCAGATTGTGTAGATAGGCCTAGTCATAGGGTTAATTCTGCTTGACAGCACATCAGCAGCATCTTGAGAGTAATTACCCAACTTAAGTTTTCCCACAGTTGAATTGAGATCTTCAAAGGCTTCTTCATTTACAAGTATTATTAACCTATATCTGAAACATGATGTTCCCACAAGGGCTAATTTTTTCTTCCTTTTATTAAATATACAGGTTGTAGGGTTCATTTGCTAAGTGCTAAGCCCTTAGAAGAAAACACTACTTGTTAGAGAGAGAAAAATCTGCAGTGCACGACTAAAGCTAATGGTGCATAATGCACACATCATTGTCTTTTTGCAAAGACTTTAAAACAAGTTAAAATTTAGGTCTGGCTCCCTTCCTCTCTCCCTCTCTCCCACCCCCCGCCTTCCACTTTTAAGAAAATCAAACCACTTATTCCTATGTGCAGAGTAAGTAAATTGAAGACACACACAAACAAAACCCTCCTAGGATGTTGTACAATTAAGTGCAGATCGTTGGATACAATACATATGACATTAATGAAACGGTATCTGCTTCAAAAATAGATTGGAAACATTCATGAATAAATTAAATCCTCTTAATGACTTTTCAAAAATGAAAATGAATGAAAACAATATTTATTTCATAGGAACAACTGTATGCCACGATTCACAGCATATAATCTAATCCTGGTTTAAATTTATATTCTATTTTCTGCATTCATTTTGTGATTTGTCTCTTAAAATGTATTCTTCGTAACTTTACATTGTAAAAAAACCCCAAAATATTAAAGATAATAGTTATTATTTGGGTTCAAATGCCTTTGAATGCATTAAATATTAATGTACAGAGGTAGACAGTCTTGCTAATGATGATATTTGCCTGGGGGGATCAGCATGACAAATGGCTTTTATGGCATAAAACAATTCTTGTAACTTACGATCTTTTTATTTTCTTTTGCAGGTCAGAAACAAAGTTTGACTCCAATTCAGGTATGTTTAGATTTACAGTGTTTTGCTGAATGTACACTATTCAGGTTAATCTCAAAAGAGTAGTTTATCAGTTCAAGTTCAGTTTAGTTTTAAACAAACTGGGGTAGGTCGGTCTTAAAAAGGATCTTCATTTCTCACCGTCTGAAAACAGCATTATTACTGTGAAACATTTGCTTTCATTCCTTTCATTAGTTCCTGTCTCTTTACATTTTCCCAAAAGATGATCAGGAAGATGTATCTTGCGACAGGCTTTAATTGGTACAGAAAACTTACAGTAAAATAAATGATAATACAGACTAAAGCAAATGGAGCATTGAAGTGAAGTTTGAGAATGATCACTGCTTTAAAAGAGAATGTTTTTCTTCCTGGTGGACAAAGACATTTCATGGGAATTTGAAGTCAGTGCAGCCTATCTGTCAGGAAACAGATGATTTGTCATCAAATTTTCGTGACAGATGCATGTACACAACGCATGCCAGACTGGTCTGTAGAGCTTGCTTTAGGAGTTTTACCAAAAGGCAGTCTCTCTCAAGTTCTTTTTAAAGAATTTTAATGTGTTATAGGGATTGGGAGGGAAGTGAAGGTCAGTCTAGCAGGTTAATGTGTATCTAAAAAGACAAAAAGCACAGGACAGCAAATAGGGGAACAGTTGGGGAAAAAATGAAGATCCTAATACCAGACTGTTATTTATTCAGTTAACTGTTCCTGGGTGTTCCTTAAAGTTAAACAATAGTAAATTAAGAATAGGCTGTTGTCCTGAAACTAGCTGAAATGTCCATTGCCTGAAAAGGTAATTCAAAATACATTTTTTGTTAAGATGAAAAAGACATTTTAAGCAGAAAACCTGATATTATTACAGCAATTTTGTATTTAGGCCAATGTTATCTTCTATATGATTTGCTTAATGCAGTGATTATAATTGCTTACAATGATACAAATTTTACAATATATATTAATCAGAGTATTTATGAAACAGCATGTTTCCTTTTGTCCCAGTTACAACGTGATTTGGGTTTAAAATGTGAGGTATTACATTGCTTTTTCTTTCCACATCAGATTTTATCTTTGGAACTATATAGGAGTGAAATCTACAGCAGGAAGCATTTATATAAGCCAATTCCTACATCTTGTATACTTGAGTCATCTTGCTTCTATTATGTTTTGAGTCTGTGAGTTTGAGGTTACTTGCTTTAAATACTGCTTGAATGAACTGTGTGCTAAGACTGCTTCTTGGATCTTGACAAACCAGTTTTACATGGGGGAATGGCTTCACACATTGTCTGCCATTACCCCCTTTCTTTTAGTAAAGTCTCCAAAACTAGGGTGTGGAGCAGAATGTCGAATGTCTCACTTTTCTGTTGAGGGGAAAATGCTCTCTGCAGAACTTCAGGTTGCTTGGTGGACAGAACTACAGTTTTCTGACTTTCTCTTCTGAAGCAGCTGTCCTGTTAGGCGCACTATTCTGCGTGCCGCTCCCCTTGGCAGTGAAGGTCGGGGTATGGTATTTCCTAGGGAGCACAGAGTAGCGGTAAAAGTTTGGTACTACCGCAGCTGTGGCAAACGCCTGCTCAGGAGGTGTCACCAGCCCTCTGTGGTTGGACTCTGGAGGGTGAGCATGGGCTTTTAAATGTATCCTCTTCATCTGTGTGGGCTCCACAGGCTTGCTTTTCTTGAGCTTGGGTCCGTGTCGTGGGCACAGTTTGTCTCCTACTTCTCATACAGGGGTGTTGGAAAGCCCTGTTGCCCAAAGACCAGAGGACTAGAGTCGCTCTCCCTGCCCTGCTCTTCTGAAGGCATTCCTTAGGCACTGTTCTTACAAGGCCAGAGCCCTGGCCTTGTGAATGCCTGATGCAGCTTTATCTCCCCAAGAGCACAGAGCACACAGACGTTGCAAAAGGATTTGGAAGTAAAGACCACGTACAGGAAACCACACAAAAAATACATAAATGAACGTTAAAAGACCCAAGATCTCCCCTTTTTTTTCTGCACCTAAATATTCTCTGGATGCACAGCAGAATTCTCTGCAGCAGGTGATTAACTTTTTTTGCTGAGTGTTGATATGAGCAGGCAGCATGAGCATCAAAGTACTCTGTATACCATCAGGGATACAGTATGGGAAGGTCTGGGGCTGAGGAATTTCTTAGATTTATTCCTCCTTTTTCTGCAGAGCCTCACTTTCATCTTCTGCTCATGATTGCTTTCCCCTAAATCCCTGTGGAAGCCTTTGGTTAGAACAGTTTCAAGCTTTCCTGTCATGGGACCCTGGCCACCCCCAGGGTGTTTAAAGCTCCTCACCTGGTGGTCCATTGTGGATTGCCAGTGCTGTGGCTGGACAGGGTCTCATTTTATTCTTTGCCCTAAATGCTGTATTTGGAACTGATAATTACTGAGGTTTAATGCATTGGTCTCATCAGTGCCGCCTCTTTCAGCACAGGTTTCAGGCAACAACCAAGGGTAGATGTTAAAAAGATAATGGAAAAAAACAGATTACACACATAATTAAAATGGCATTTTAAGAAAAATCACAGAAACTCCATAAACTCAAAGTGCATTCCATAGCCAGCAACACCAATGCTGAAAAAACCCTTTCTGTGTGAAAAGTACAGCAGCATTCCCGTAACAGGGACAGTACTCAGTTCTTCCACCAACAAGCTTTTCTTGGTAGTCAGACAGTGTGAGCACTTAGAATTTTTCATTCCCAATGTGTGAGAGTAGAGGAGATACTGAGATCAAATCAATATGTATCACCCAAATAAAGCATCACTGTTTTTGTTTCCCCACCAAAGAGTTTGCCATCCCTTTCCAAAACCAGACAATAAGCCTAGACCTCCTGCTGCCTCTGAGTGAACAGGAGGGTGTAGGCAGGGAGTGGGAGGATGTGTTGATGATGGCAGTGAGGTGTCCTCATTAAAAAATCTTTATCTGATACGGAGGGGGGGGGGGTGTTCAGTGTCCTATGTAGCACCATGTTCTGCATAATGTGGGCCTTTGAAGTGTGTAAATGTAGCATTGGTTTTAAAAGGGCTGCTGCCATTTGACACCAATGACTCTATATTTATGCAACCTTGAGTTCCTTGGAGACACCTTAAGGTATTTACATATCCCTTATTTCATTTTGAATTCCCCAGACTGTGATTCCTGAGTAAACCAATGATCCTGCAAACTGGAACAAACATGCTTTGTTCTCATTTATCTCATGTTACTCAAAACAGTTCAAGTGTTGAACCTGAGAATGAGGTAATTTTATTCTAGAATGAATATTTTCTTCCAGGGATCTTTTCTACAACCTGTCGCGTGCTCTAAATTAACCCTAACGTTAATTCCAGTTAACTTGCAAGTCTAGATGTGCCCTTGTTAAGCATTTATCAATGCTTATTGTACTTTCCTAGAAATATTTGTGAAGCACTGAAGTATTAAAAGGAGTCTTTCTGAAGCAAGTACAAAGTCTGGAATACAGCTTCAAAAGTGCCCAGTAGGCTCACTGTAAATGTAACCCTGGAAGTATTGTTCAACACTGAAATATTAGGCAAACATTGTCAAAAGAAGATTAATTTGAACTTGAGCATTAACTTAAAAGAAGGCTGTAAAATTCCTATAGTGATGATCGGGATTTATCATATAAATAGCTATAACATCTGTAGGGGATACACATTCTTCATATCATGACTAACAGTTCCATCTGAGAAACTTCTTTTTCTCTGCTGATTCTTTATAAGTCTATAGCTGGCAGAATTTCTGTCTCAGAGATCATGGGGTTAGCTTCATGCTGTTAGAATATCTTATGAAATGAAACAATTTTGCTTTTCTGTCATAATATGATTAATTTCACTGGTACTGAAAATAGATTTTTTCCCCAGAAAAGTACTTGAAAGCGAAAAAGGTTGTAGGAATTACTTTTTTTTTTTCCCTCAAAATTTATTAGGGAACAAAGCAAACCACAAAAACTACAGCTGAAACAATTTTGTTCCAATTATTAGTATTTTGGTAGCATCTGAAATGCTTATTGTGCTATGTGTTTTCTTAGCAAATTTTAGAATTTAAGAATGTAAGAATTATATTGAAATAATGAGTTAATGAAACATTTTTCTTTTAATTTAGAGAAAAATAGGTTTTCAGGATTCTCTTCCATACCAGGAAGAATTTGGTCTCAAAAGCTGTTGCTGAACACTGTTAATCCCACTTGAGTAATAGAAAAACAAGCATAGAAAATGCAAACAACTGTCTCAGCATGCCCACTGGTCACTAGAGAATGGTAATGGTGAGGTTTCCTACTGCCTACTGGGAGGGCTGGAGTTTTCTTGAGGCATCTCCTGTAATATTTGGTGTATCCTGCATGTCACTGTGGAGGTGAGCCATGTGATATTCAAGTGATAGTGTTGGCAATGAAATCACGAAGGGGAAGAAATTTGAGTTTTGTTCTGGGTTAAAAACAAAGGACAAATTCCTGGACAATACACATGGCCTCCAGTGGAGTCTCTTATATATGTGTCATTCAGAGGGTGGAATGGAGAAAGTCAGAGAGCACGGGGTGCAATAATGTGACAGTCGGGGAAGCACCGTGCTGTAGAAACACATCTGTGCACTAGCAGAAGAGAGAGGAGTGCCCAAGGGCACACAGGGCCTTCAGCTGTGTTCTTCTTCATTTCCTGTGCCAGCTTCCCGCTTCTCTCAAAATGAGAGATGCATCTCCAAAACCCGTTCTTCTGTCTCCCTGCTTCTATAGAGATCAAATGAAATACAGAGATTACCTGTGTTATTTTATACCACTGTGTCAATACTTTGGAAGCATTCCAATTAGTATCAGGAATTAAGCTATATTAGCTGCCTATGCAGCTAGAGGCTGTTCTGAGGGACAGCTACACATGAGCTTTTGTCGGATCCCTGCTGCCCCAGCAGTCAAATACAAAGCAAGCCAAGGAGCCCCCGACAGTTCCTGGAATTTCCTTCGCCTGCCTTGTCTGGACTCACAGCGTCAGCCAGTCATTTCTCCTCTCTGCACA